CCAGATAAGTACAAAACACTAGTACTTCTGGGACTGGTGTATTATATTATGATTAAGCATTTTATGCATTTAAAGAAAGGTTATGATGAAAGAAAAAGTTTATGAAGAATGAAAATAGTTTAAGGAAAAAGCTAAAGAAAATTGTGTATGAAAAAGGCTATACATTATATGCATTTCAAATGTCAAGTATGATTTTTATTTTCACAAATTCTTCTGAATGAAAATTTCATGCATAAAATAATGTTTTTATTGTTTCATAAATTTATAATAAATAAATGTTACATAGTTAGTGTTAGCTCACCCTGCTTGTGGGAATATTTTTCAGGAGAGACTGCTAGAGAGTGATGGCTGAAAGACCGATTACCTATCATCATAGAGGATCCCAGGATGACAAGTTTTTATGTTCATGTTATGTAATGTGTTGGTTGATGTATCGTGGATTACTGTAATGTTTTCAGTTTATGTTTTAAGATATTTCATGTTTTGTTGTATTAGAGTATTTCAGTTTGGAAGTTTAGTGGCTCTTTCTTTCACTGTTCTGTTATTGGATGATTATTGTGTTTATGTCATTTATAAAATGAAAGTTAAAGGTGTTCTCCGCACGACCGTCTGTTTCCGCCCCGTTAATTCGGGCTAGCACGGTTGGGTTGTGACAGTTTCATCCAAAGGAGGTCTATGATTCTAACATCCTTGGCTCCTTTTTCATATTCCTTCTTGGGTAAATGAAATTATTCCACTAAGTTAATAACGAGTGTTGTCATAAAGCAAAATTCTTTAAAAGATAAAGGGCGTGGGTTCCTATTGAGGGTAGTTTATATTAACATGGACAAAGGTACTATGGGCCTAGGAGCAATCTCCTAAGATCCACCCGCCACAAAGGCTTATGACAATATATGACTCTTTTGGATATTTTTCACTTCATCGACTATACATCAAGTTGTTACTAGACATATATTCCTCTAACCTAGCTAGCAATCTAAGTAGTTGTTTGTAGTCATCAAGGGCCTCAATAAGCTTTTGAGTCTTAATTTTTGAAATTCTCGTTTATTCCTTTTTGAATTTTGATGTCTCGAGGAAGATACAAACCTAACTTCCCCAATATTTTTGGAATTATTTAAAATTTGCATCCTATCAAGCAAGGGATTTACAACAAAGAATTCCTCGGATGAAAGACTTTTAGGCCCAATTATGTCTTAAGGCAATTTCGCCCTATATAACCAAGGAGTGTTTTGATAATTTGTTTAATTTTCTTTGAGATTAAAATTAAAAAAAAAAACTCATCTACTTTTCTCTTCTTATGGGGGCTTTCCATGCTCATCTGATGTTAGCTTGCACAAAGGTAGCTGAGATGATGTTGGTCACTACCATTTTAGGATGGACCATGATGTCGTTAAAAAGAAAGAGCTAGCCATTTCAATAGCTTTGTCTACCCAAATTTTGAAAATGAACCATCTTAAATTGGATGGCTTATTATCAAATATTAAGGGCAATAATTTAGATCATCAACATTATATGCATGCTCTGGTCTATGAGACTAATTATTGGAGACCCATATTGAGTGCATGTCAAAAAAATACTGCACTCCTTAAATTAGTATTTGTTTATTAACTTTCTCCAAAAAAAATGGGAGCCCTTCATCCTTCCCCTCCTAGCTTTCATAAGTTTGGAAGGACTTATTGCTTCCTTTTTTTTTCTTCCTTATTGTCAATTAAAAGAACTGAATATAGCATTTACATCATTCTTTCCTGGGAATTAGGACATAACTTTCTTCTTTTCTAAAGAATTTTTGTTAGTATTGGCATGAAGCCCTTAGGTTCAAGCAACCTTTCAAATTTTACGACTTGTTCCAATAACCCAAAAAATATATTATCAAAGCCATGCAGAAATAGAGGATCATTTGGTCTTTGATGTTCCCCGAGGAACTAAACAAGTTAAGGTTTCGTAGCCTTAATATGTATTTGGGGACAATCTTATATTTCTTCTTTAAGAGTGAGATCTAAGATGGTCATTTTTTTGTGGCACTAACAAGAACTTTACTAACATCATTTTTGAGCTACTCAAATGTTTTAACTAAGTCGTTGGGTAACTCATGATACCACTAAAAATATCTATTAAAAAGGTTGTTGACAAAATAACATAGTAGTAAAATACTATTTCCTTCAGTGTTGTTGCAAGTAGCATTGAAATGGGCCAAACTTTGCATGGGATTCTTCATACTACAGATTAAATTAAATTTTCACACAATATACCCTTTATGTTTTGTATTGAATGTACTCAGACGAATATGGATGTCATTCACCTACCAAAGCCTCGATAGCCACAAAAGCAATAAAATTTTTAACTTTTAAAATATAGGTATTCATGTGTTTCGACAATCACTTTTAGCTCTGGGTATGTAATTTAGGCTGCTCCTTACAAGGATTATGATGATCCACATCTTGAAGCAACTAGAACATTCGAAGGAGTAGCCTAAGTAATGCTTGTTTTGATTATTAAATTAACAAGTCTAATTATATGGTGGAAGTGGTGGTGCTGAGATGAGGATGAGTAGAATTCAAATTGGATGGTTGAAGTGAAAGAATGTTTTGGGTTTGTTGTGAAATAAAAAAGTAACACTCAAACTTGAGCGAAATTTTTATAAGATGGTAGTGAAACCTGCAATACTTTATGGCGCAGAAAGTTGGCCATTAAAAGAGAAGCATAATCTTAAGTTAAGTGTTGCTGAGATGAGGATGCTCAGGTGGATGAGTGGATTTGGTCTTAGAGATAGGATATGAAACGAGCATATTCGTGAAAAGGTTGTAGTAGCTCCAGTGATAGATAAGATTAGAGATAGTCACCTTAGATGGTTTGGTCATGTAAAACGGTGGCCTTTCGATGACCCTGTTATGAGATAGATGTATTAAATTTGGCCTATGTTAAGAAAGGTAGAGGTTGACCTAAAAAAGACTTGGTTAGAAAATATTAGAAATGACATTTTTTTATTATATTTAAATGAGAATTTGACTCTTAACAGGACACAATGATAAAACCTTGATGTTGTTGTTGTAGTTGTTTAATGTTGATCAACTATTGCTATCAGATTGAGTTGACCAAAGAGATCCTTCATAAATTTACTCATTACATGAAATTGATCACTCACTTTATCTTTCATATCTAGTTTGTGTTACATTTGTTATTGCAATTATGTTACAATCTTGAGAGCATCTTGTGCTTCCTCAAATTCATCTCGTCATCAAGAGAACTCATTTGATGGCAACAATTTTTACTGGTTATCTTGAGGTTGACCTTTTATTTTTTAGGATGAAAAATACATTTTGATTCTTTAAAAAACTATAAGCTCTTTGGGTAGGAGGATCATTTGTATGCTCAAACGGGCGCCGGTTCAAGTGAACCGGCCAGTTAATAAAAAAGGCAAAGACGAACGAAGTGGGAGAAGATCAGATAGTTTGCATGTGCGAGCTATCCAAAACGGAGACGAATCGCGTCATTGAGCAAAGGATCTCATACGAGGGAGAAAAATAACTACTCGTGAGATATATGTCCATTTCACTCAGTCCTGTGGAATCAAACGAACGAAAAATGAACAGAGGCTGAACAAGAGAGATATATATATATAGAGAGAGAGAGAGAGAAGGGGAAAGAAGTTAGGTTTTCTAATTTTATTCATTTTCTTCACATCACTTCTATAATTTAAATTTATGAAAGTATTAATTATCTTAAAGGAAGGCAAAAGAAAGAATTGAAAAAGAAAGAGATTTGATAGAGAAAGAATAAGATAATGAGTTGGAAAGTTTTTTTGTAAGTGATTTCAATCATATTTATTTTATGTTCAAATTTTGAAGAATAGAATTTATAAAATTTATTTTAATGACAATAATGGTGTATGCTTTTAGAAATGAAGAAAAATCTAATAGAGAAAGATGAAGTATTTGGATTTCGAAAAAAAAAACTCATAAGAAAGTGTAAGTAAATTCCCTTTTCTTATTCTTTTCTTTCTGTTCAAACTGTGAAAAAGAAAATTTTATAATTCTCCTAAATGAAGAAACATTATTATTGTGAAGAAACAAAACTATAGCCAACCCTATGTAGTGGGATAAAGATTCGATGTTGTTGTTATTGTTGTTGTTGCATGGTAAGGTTAAAATTATGAATATGTAAGTAAATTAATATGAAAATGTATATGTTCTATTGGTAATGAACTAAGGAAAAGTTGTTAAGGTTAATTCAACATTGAAATAACCTTGCAGTGAAAGAGCTAATCTACTAAAATTTGAAGTGAGTGATTATATTTCTATCTTATTATAGTAATAGTTATTTTCCATAATTTAATGCATTGATTAATATGACATTTTAAATGTACACTTGAAATTTTCATTAGAGAAATGATCAAAGAATTTTTTTTATTTTACACGCATAAATTTCTCATATTGCTATAACTGCTAAATGTAAAAGCACATATTGAAACCCCATGTGTGTACAAATTATGCATATATTAGATTTGTATATGACATGTGCAACAAATAAAGTTATTTTTCATTTATGCTCCTAAATGGCATCCCAACCATGGGAAACACATTTATAAATAAACTTGCCCATCTCTCTTAGAGTAAAGGTCATTTATTATATACCCAATAACACATCACAGCAACAACAATTTTTCAATTTAAGCCTTAGGTCATGAATAATAGTTAGGTATGAAACAATTACAAATCTTGTGAACAATGCACAGCTTAAACATGATTCTAAAACAATAGTACAAGCTACTTCAATCATTCTGAAGCATTTATCAACATAAATAAATAAAACCTTAGGCAAAAGGCATCAAATATAGCACAGGATCCTTCAGATCTATTCATTACTGCAAAACTAGCTACCCAATGAGAGCCAAAAGTGTCATCACCATTAGCCTTACCTCCCAACTATTTGTGGTCATCTTAATGTGAACCAAATTTTTAAAACATGAAAAATATATACAGTAAACTTATGGAGAAACTTACTATCATCTTAGGAAGTGGCATCTTAATTTTTGTCAGCATGATTTCGCAATTATTTGCTCTACGCATATCAACCTAAATAATAGCAGGCAAATTAATGCATTAGTCAAAAAATAATACAAAAATACAGTAATAATTGATTTTCAGGTAAAAATTCTAACAAAACCTTCATATTAAAAGAGCAAAATTGCAACAATAAAACAAATGAATAAAGAAAAAACCTACATTATGGTCTTCACATTCTATCAACCATGGTAACTATGTTGAGAGGTTGTCATAACTAATAAGGCCATAAAGATAACAGAAGAATCTCAAACATTTAAATCACAGCCAAAACTGCTGTTCCCCATAACAGAGAAAAATAATAATCTCAACTATTATGGAGGACAAACATTTTGACAGGACTAATTGTGTCTCGCAACTACTCGCACAATTCACACCTCACTACCTTACCAACCTCCTCCGTGCTAGCTTGCTTAAGTTGCTCTACCGCTTCCTTTTGTAGTCCACTCATTCTGACACTCACAAGCGCATGCTATTCTCATTATTTCAATACGCTCACTTAGCGTTGCCCTCATGTTCTCGCATGTCATCACCTTGGGTTTGCCTACGACCCGGTAGTTGTTTTCCTCCATGTCCATGATGCAAAAATAGGAATATGTTTCTCACTGAGCCTCAACTATTACTTAGGGTAAGACCCTTTCTCTCAATGATCTAAATTCATTATCGCCTTTTTTAGCCCTATCTCATATTGTGCAATGACGTCTAAGTCTTCTCTTAATGATTCGAAACTCTCCTCAACCATTGATATCATAATAATGTTTAATGACACTAATTACCTCTTATGGTTAAGGATCTTTCACTTTCTTATTGGTTCCCATGACAAACTCTCACCTAACTGGCTAGCTTCATGTCCTCTGACTCACGATAAAAACATCAAATCCTCCAAATGACTAGATTCTAATTGGAATTCTCACTTGGATGGTTAATAGCGCCCACATGTGCAGTCCTGTGAAGTGACCCAATATAGTACACATGAACGCTGACTTGTTTCGAGCAATTATTGAGGGTATTTTTTAACCCATTTTACAAATATGCATCTTTGATTAATATGATACTATGGTATACATGCCAGAAATTTTTTTTCAAATTTTTTTATTTTCTTTATGATAATACACATGATTATCTAAGAAAGGGGGTGCAATTCATCAAATTATGATATGATACGATTAACCTAAACATGCATGACTAGACATTCTACATTTATTTTATGTTTGTTCTACTAACTGCTTTAATTAGACTATACTACATTCAATGCTCCATTTTACACATATTTTCCCAATATAGATGGATATCATATTGAAATGTAGATGATTTCTTTATTGGACTTCTTCACAATTGACAAGTGCGTTTGTACAATTAAACTTTCTAGTCATATATTATTATTTTTATAAATTATTTTCATCATTTTGTCCCAAATCAATATAGCATTTTATGATAATTTTTCATATTTTTCGTATTGAATATGAGTATATGACTCAATTGCTTATACAATTTAAACTCTTTCTTTAAAAATTTCAAGTATTTACAACAAATGCCATTACTCATAAATGTCTGACCTAGGAGTTGGGCCAATAGGAAAAAATGTTATATGCAAGATAGACTACAGTCACCCTTCGGCATATTTCAATAGTTTAACTTCTCGTGTGTTTTTTATTCATGATTTATTTAAATGAAGTTTACTAAAATCAACATCATGATGTTTGACATTTTCACCAATTTGATATTTTATTATTTTGGTTCTTATATGCTTTTCTATGCTATTATTGCTAACTTTCACCAAGTATTTTGTAGCCATAGAAACTCATGAGTCATGATTGAATGGTGTTTGGCAAATTAAATTTGTTTCCATAATATTTTATGAGTATATCATCTGTTATTGCATATATTGCATTCAAACTACATGGCATTTGTGATGCCCATGTTGTTTTATTCAAGGTGCTTTTACCTAATCATGTTCCTCCACACAATAGAATGTCATAATTAAGATCCTACTCATTTGGAAAGTGCATTCATCTGTTATTGCCAATATTCATACATAATGATTAAGTCTACTATTTTATTTTATAAGTTCTATTCATTTGTGTTGCAGATGTTAATTCATATAAATTGTTTGATCATAATATGTCATACAATTTATGTGATTTGCATAAATGTTAATTATATTATACGTGTTGTTGAATGTTTGCATGCAAACAAATGTTTATTGTTCTTAAAGTTAATTTGACTTCATTTTTGTTCCCTGCAAATGAGATGGGCCAACTAGCTTTTCTTTAAAACTTTGAGGGTCTAGAATTATAGTCCAATTTAAAGAAAGAAGGTTTAAGGTTTATTTAGTTATTTGGTACTAGCCAACGAGCTCGAGATGATGACCATGATATCTAAGCACCTAAATATTTGTATAAAATCTCGGAAAAACAGTATCTATTTATTTATCTAACTAACAAGCTAGGAAATGTCTAACTTCAATGGATACTCACTCGCAATTAATCATTCATGTTTTGTTATTCCTAATAATTGATATATGCATAATTCATTTATTATCTATAATTGATTATTAACTATCTGACGTGGCATAGCATATACAAAGTTATTTTGACATAAATTGCATTTCATGACATCTACACCTAAATTCTATTATTAATGTTATGACATTCATAGAAGATTTTCTTATTGATTTTATAGTTAATACAAGCATACCTATTGATTTCACTTCCTTGCATTGAATTTGGTTGTAGGTTTCATGAAACCTACAAGACTTATTACCCACCATCTTTCATCCATATGTGTTTTTATTTCAATGAAGGATAAGGCTCCAATTGAGTAAACCAATAGAGTAAAGCCTAAGTTTTACTATTATTCAATTGCAATAGTTGGTGAAAGGAGATTTCATTAAATTAATCTGTCATAAGGAGGTTTATCTATGTTGTTTTTGAAGAAGGATGGTGCAATACGCATATATACAAATTATATAAAGTTGAACAATGTGACAATTACGAACAACTGAACAAGTACCCATTGCTCATAATGGACGACTTCTTTTAACAATTAAAATGTGCATGTGTATTCTCTAAGATAGATGTGAGATCTAACTATCATCTATTGAAAATATAATATATGATAACTAGCAACACAACATTCAATACACATTATAATCACAATGAGTTTTGGTGATACCTTTGGTGTGAATAATACATTGGTGAGGTTTATAGATCTTATGAATTGAGTGTTTAAATCAAACTTGGATCAGTTTGTGATGGTGTTCATTGATAAGATATTATAGTGTATTCAAAAATTGAAGAGAATCATGCAACTCATTAGCATTGAAGACATTAACATAAAATAAATTACATAATAAGTTTTCAAAGTGTGATTTTTAATTATGGATTGTTGCACTTTTCGGCCATGTAATAAGCAAATATGAGATATCTATAGATTCTTATAAGGTGCTAGTTATTATTGAATGGCTAAGGCTAACCAATATATCAAAAGTCCACAGTTTCCTTGTTATGACAAACTACAATAAAACGTTTGAGAAGGGTCGTTCTCAAATTGAACTCCCTTTAACCAAATTAATACACAAAAAATAGTGTAGTTAGATAACAGCAAAGTGTGAAAATAGTTACAAAAGTTGAATAGTTATGCAGTGTAAGCAATAATTTTTGCTATTCCATATAGCAAAGAAGGATTGCTAGCTATTGGTGATGCATCATTGATGATTGGGTTGTGTCATGATGCACCTTGATAAGATGATAGTTAAAACAACCAGGTGAATAAATCCCAAAAGAAAATTTATCATAAATATGACTTAGAGTTAGCTGTAAATATTTTCATGCCCTCCCACGGTACTGACCGGGCTTTGATTCCCCGGATGCGCAATTTATTTATATTTATCGATTTAGAGAAAGCATATGATAAAGTTTCAAGAGAAGTGCCATGGAGAGTTCAAGAAAAGAAAGGGGTTAATAATGATTATATTCAAGTCATTAGGAACATGTATGCATGAGTTGTTACTTGTGTTCAAACACAAGGTGGTTTGACCAAGTATTTTTCTATTTCAGCTGGATTACATCAAGGATCAACCTTGAGCCCTTATCTTTTTGCTTTAGTCATGGATGCTCTTACTAGAATTTTATCCTAGAGATTTGCAAGAGGATGCACCCTGGTGTATGCTTTTTGCTGATGATACTATTCTTATAGATAAGACTAGAGAAGGAGTTGAAGGTAAACTCGAATTATGTAGGCCAACCTTAGAGTCTAAATATTTTTGTTTGAGTAGATCTAAAACCAAATACATGGAGTGTAATTTTAGTAGTAATAGATCTAGTGGGAGGTTTGTGACTTTGAGCGATCAAGACATTAATAAGTGTACTCGTTTTACATATCTTGAATCTATTGTTCATAATGATGGTGAAATAGATAGGGATATTATTAGTAGAATTCAAGTTTGATGGTTGAAGTAGAGGAATGTTTCGGGTTTGTTGTGTGATAGAAAAGTACCACTCATACTTAAGAAAAGAATTTATAAGATGGTGGTGAGACCTGCAATGTTTTATGGCACATAATGCTGTCCATTAAAAGAGAAGCATAATATCAAATTAAGTGTTGTTGAGATGAGGATGCTCAATTGGATGAGTGGATTTACTCTTTGAGACAGGATACGTAACGAGCATATCTGTGAAAAGGTTGGAGTAGCTCCAGTGACAGATAAGATTAGAGAAGATCTCCTTAGATGGTTTAGTCGTGTAAAACAACGGCCTTCCGATGACCCTGTTAGGAGATTAGATGTATTAGATTTAGCCTATGTTAAGAAAGGTAGAGGTAAACCTAAAAGATTTGGTTAGAAAATATTAGAAATGACATTTCTTTATTAGATTTAAATGATAATTTGACTCTTAACATTATGTTGATATTAAATTCATTAAGGATATATATACAGGAGTTATTACTTGTGTTCAAACACAAGGTGGTTTGACCAAGTATTTTTATATTTCAGTTGGATTACATCAAGGATCAGCCTCAAGCCCGTATCTTCTTGCTTTAGTCGTGGATGTTCTCACTAAACATTTGCAAGAGGTTGTACCCTGGTGTATGTTTTTTGCTGATGATATTCTTCTTGTTGATAAGACTAGAGAGTGAGTTAAAGGAAAACTTGAATATAGTGGTCAACTTTAGAGTATATAGGCTTTCGTGTGAGTAGATCTAAAATTGAATATATAGTGTGTAATTTTAATAATAATAGTTCTTGTGAGGGGATTGTGACTTTGGGTGATCAATTCATTAATAAGAGTACATGTTTTAGATATCTTGGGTCTATTGTTCAGAAATGGTGAAATAGATGGAGATATTATTAATAAAATTCAAGTTGGATGGTTGAAGTGGAGAAATGCATCAGGCTTGTTGTGTGATTGAAAAGTCCCCCTCAAACTTAAGAGAATTTTCTATAAGATGGTGGTTAACCTGCAATGTTTTATGGTGCAGAATGTTAGCCATTAAAAGAGAAGCATAATATTAAGTTAAGTGTTGTAGAGAAGAGGATGCTCACATGAATGAGTGGCTTTACTTTTAGAGACAGGATATTTGAACATGTTGGAGTAGCTCCAGCCGAAGATAAGATTAGAGAGAGAAACCTTAGATGGTTTGGTCACATAAAATGACGGCCTTCCAATTACCTAATTAGGAAAGTAGAAGTATTAGATTTGACTTATGTTAAGAAAGGTAGAGGTAAACCTAAAAAGACTTGGTTAAAAATATTAGAAATGACCTTTGTTTATTATATTTAAATGAGAATTTAACTTTTAACAGAGCAAAATGGAGAAAAATGATTCATGTAACCAATCCCACATAGTGGGATAAAGGATTGATGTTGTTGTTAATGCTCAATGGAAACCACCAATGCTTGGCAAAGGTTTTTTTTATCTGTTGTCTTGTTTCTAGTGGTGAAAATAGGTTGCAAGAGACTTACTACAATGGAGTCAGCTACTCTAAGAGATGCCTTGTTGCTGGGTGCAACACCCCTTACAGCTATTGGAAGGTAGAAAACTGTGAAAACAGCTACTGGAGAGGGATACAGTGGTGTCCTTATTGAATAGCACAAAGTGAGAATGAGGTTGCAGACGTAATGTCAAGAATTTTGTCCGATATCTTTGATGATACCATGAAGAGAGAAGAATTTATTTGAATTTTCTGTATATTCCACTAAGGCCCTTACACCCCTCTTTATATCGAAAGATTCTAGATTCCTCGTAAGTAATTTCTATGGAAATGACTAATTGCATAGTGATTACATGTTAAAATTCCTAGGACATAAGTACAAATCAAGTTTATATATAAGTATCTATGAAAATAACGAAAGATATTCTACAGATTGCAACATTTATTCTACCTTAACCACAAGAGAAATTTGCACCCCTTCATTTACGCGGATTGCCATCATGGCAAAGAAGGGTCACCAGCTTCCAATCACATAAATTGCCAAGCTGGGCAAAAAAAACTAGCTACATAAATCAAATTGATTCTCTAAATAGGTGTAATTTTTAGAAGTCTTTGTTTCATTACTTTCTCTCATCATTTCATTGCATGACTTATAATGTTGATTTCTCTATAATGGACACAATTTTAAATATCTTTATTATTAAATATTTGAACAAAAATGCTTCAACAATTATTAGTCATCTTCTTAATCTTTAAATATTCTAAAAAATCAAACATACGGTATCTCCTATAAAATTTTAAATCTTAATAAGCATCTCATTAGAACCAAAGGCTTTACCCTTATTCATCTTTTTTAAAGCAAACTAAGCATAACATTGCTGATCATCTATACTATACCACATTATTTTTCACAATGCTCCTTTAAAATAATTTCTTTCTAAAAACCCATACTTAACAGATTCTCAAATAGTATTATTTACGTCTTTCTTTGATATCCTTATTTAACTAAGACCATATTATCTTTGCTTATAATTAATATGATTTGAGTAAACTATCTAAATCTCTTGTCTATATATATATATATATATATATACACACACACACACACAGGCACGCCTTGAACTTTTTGTATAAATGAATAGGCTCAAATTGAGTGAGGCCGAAAACTAACAAAATTCAATCAATTTTTTAAGTTGAATTGAATTTGAATAATGTCAAAATTTAAGTTTTAAATTTCAAGTAGATGCCAGCTTACTCAAACATTACCCATTTATACCACTAGTCCCATTGCATGTAAAATTGCATATACTAGACCAAACATCACAATCACATTAATTTGCAAATTTTGACATCTGTGCGTAGAATTGATGCATGCAAATTTCAATTTTTTATTTAGTTTTTATTGTAATTTGATTGCTATAGTTTTTTTTTATTATTTTTATGCTACCCTATGATTAAAAAAATCCAATGATCATGAGTAGGTAGTGCTTGGTCTTGGCAAACTTTAAGTGTGCTAGCTAGTTTGGTGCCTTGGTTCTTGGGCTGCCGGTTGCCTCTCGGTTTGGGCTTGGCTTCTCAATTTTTTACTGTGTTTTTGGAAGCTACTATGTTCTAGTTCATTAATGCTTGAGCATCTATTTTTTTCTGGTCGTTATTATGGGAAGTTCTCCTACTTTTTAGCTCATTATGTGGAGTGGAAGCTTGCTCTTTCCCCTTCTTTGTGGCCCTTCGGTTTCCCCTTTTTGGCTCCTTTTCCCGTGGCTGGTTCCTTCCCTTTTGGTTGCCTGTTCTGGTTTCCTGTGGTGTTCGTTCCTGTCTCCTGTGGTTGCCTTTCTGGTTCCCTGTGTGGCTCTTCGAGTGCTGCTTCTGCACCACCTGCTGGCCTTCCATTTCCCCTTACCTGATTGGTTCGGTTGGACGTGGTTTTGGCTGTTTGGTTGCCCCTTTTATCCTATAAATTTGAGGTGTTTTGAAGCATGAAAGGTTGTTGATTATTTGAGCAAAGTCTCTTAAAAAACCTGAGGGTTTCTTCTTTGGAAAAGTTTGAGAGCTTCTTCCATTTCTCTCTTCATCTCTACAATTTCGTCTTGGGCTTCTTTCCTCTTTCTTCTCTCCGCAAGTTCTACTCCACTTGTATCTTTCTTCTTGAGTTATTGGAGGTATTGGTTGGTTGGGTTGGATTTTGGTGACATTTGTCAGAGAAGTTTCGGTGGACGTTGACCCTTGTAGCTGTGGTGGACCCTTGGTTTGCAAGCCCTTAAGCACATCTTTTATATTGTCTACTATTTCGTTGCATGTGAGGAAACCGTTTGTCGGTAGTTCTGAGGGTAGTTGTTTTTAATTTTAATTTGGTTTTGATTGTTTGGCTTTTCGTTTTGTTTTGATGTTTGTTTGAATGTTGGCATTTTAATATTGAATCGAGTAATGTTCTACTTATCCTGATGTTCTCCCCTCTTGGCTCTTTCTATCTAGTTGTCCGCATCAAGAATGCAAAATCATGCCCCAAACATTTAGAACATATGATGCAGAGACATACCATCCACACGTGATCTCTGATCATTGATAGATTGAGACACCGAATGCATTAACCAATATACCCTATCCTTCAGGTATCTGCCTAAATTCCTCAAATAAGCTAGTATCATATAAAGAAGAAGCAACACTTAAAGGTTGTAAACTAAAAATGTATACAAGCACGTTGAATTTAATTATAACTTTTTAAAATGCTTGAAACATTTTAAAAAAAAAAAGTTCACAAAACATCCAACAATTTAAGAGGATCTTGAATCTAATCTTCAAATATGCGCAAAATCAACATAGAATAGTGTAAATGCATTGGTTGCAACTCGCTTCTCAACGTTCTCCGATGACTGGTTTTAATAACTTGTGTATTCTGTCATCAGGAGTATCTTATGGAATCCCGAAAGTGCATACTATGCATGTAGCCATAATGGGGCCAGCTTTACAAATTCGATATCTCCCTTCATTTCTGTTCAGTACTACTTAGTGCATTATCAATTGTACACAACTATTTTTGGTCTAATTAATGTTAGGTTGTTAGCCAATAACGAAAATTATACCAAAATCCATAAAATCAGGAGAAAGTTTCATCATCAGACAATGTGATGATACAGAAATCGTCAATATAATATTTCATTCAATTCAAATGCAATAGTGCCATGAAAGTTATAAATAATGGCTAATGTAAGCACAAATACATGCTCAACAATATGATTTCATCCCATACTTGTATTGGATTGCAAAATCAAATCGTGGGATGAAATAAACTAAAAATTTAAAGAACAAAAGACCGCTAGAAAAGGGAATGGCGACTTTTCATGTCAACTAGACAAATAAACCATCATTAACAAAGTAAAATGCTATCTACAGGAACTTCCAACATGATCCAAAGTATGCTTAAGAGATATAGTTATTTTTACGTAAACTAAACACAACAATCTGAATGCATAAATTCAAAATCAAATAAGATTGTTACATGAAATTTTTAAAAGCACAAAAGCAAAAGAAAACCACTAGAAGTACCAAGTGAACGATCTCTGGTTTATTAGTGTTTCCACGTCGAGCTACACCTTTATCCATACCACGAACATCATCAACCACAGTAGAGAAAAGACTTTCCAACTCGGAAATATCAATTTCGGGAGCCCTGCCCAGAATAATTCGCATTTCTTAAGATTTAAGAAATAGAAATTCATTCAACAAAACAGCTTCCTCAATCATAAATTTACAAGTTGCTAGAATGGAGAAACACAGTTTTCAAGAAAAACCTAAAACAAAGTATCTTCCACAGTATATTTCCACTGCCGCATAAACTCAATCACAAAGAAGTAACCAGTTTGCAACAATCAAATGTTAAAAAAACATAACAACATCGGCTAACAAATTTTGCAGTAAGTTGTCAAAAATAACAGAAAGGCCTAACATGGAACAAGAAACCAAGGAATTATAAATCTGAAATCCATAAATATCAGTCTATTTCTTCCTCAACATCTCAAACTGGTTTTTTTTTTTTTTTCGCTCAAAGGCATTCGTCTAATTACACTTACTTTGATTGGTCTTCAGATATATGAGAATCAGCCCATAAACTTCCTTGCATGGCTCGAGTAACTTTCACCCAATGCAGCGGTTTTAATGAAGCTTTCTTCTGTTGATTGGTGGTTGATGCATGGCCTCTCATTGAACCAGGCCCAACTGCTTTTCCACTTCCAGCAGATGGGAGCGATGTCGGTATTCTAGAAAGTTTTACACCAGAAACCTGATGTGTACCAGGAACTTCCTGATTTCCACCAACTAAGGGTAGCGGTGAAAGAACATTGTTCGGTTGTTTGGATAACTGTGGAGGCGGTGGAGGAATTGGGGCATTACGTCCAGATAATGGAGGTACAGGTGGGAGTGTAGAGATTTTTTGTACTGAAATTGAAGCAGGTGGAGGAGGTGGTGATGGCGTCTGATGAGTAGCCATAGAACTAGTATGAACATAATTCGGAGGGGGAAGTCGGGGTGGCGGTGGGGGACGACTTTTGCTAATTGAAGTAACCGGAGGTGCCGGAGGTGCCGGAGGTGCCGGGGGTGGCGGGAGTGGTGACGGTCCTCTAACCAACATCGATGGGAGATATATTGGCCCTGGCAGAGATGTTAGAGGTGATGGAAGTGGAACCTTGGTAGACATAGCAGAAGGAGGTGGAGGTAGAGGTGGAGGTGGAGGTGGACTCCTACTAGACATTGTAGGAGGGGGAGGAGGTGGAGGCGGAGGTGGACCTCTATTGGACAATGGAGGAGGAGAGTGGTTTAGAGGTGGACCCCTACTTAACATTGGAGGAGGAGGTGGGGGAGGTGGGGGTGGTGGAGAATTCCCACTAGAGATTAGAGGCGGTGGTGGTGGTGGTGGCGGTGGCGGTGGAGCACTTTCAGAATTAACCAAAATTGATAGTCCTAGAGGTTTTCCAAGTGGAAGTGGTGCAGATGGTGGTGGAGATAGTGGTGGCGATGGTGGTGGTGGCGGTGGTGGTGGTGATGGTGCTGGCAACAATGGTGTTGGTAATAGTAGTGGTGATGATGGTGTGGGTATATTTATAGGTGTAGCAGACATTTCTAGCATGGAACCTGGAATTAGAACTTAACTTAGATATCATTTATTAATTTATATATTATATGGGAGAGTAAACTGAAATTGAAGAATAACTCACCAGCCAGGTCAAGATATTGACATTTAGGTTCATCAGGTAGACTCTCAAACTGAGTGTTAATCACTGCTCCATGCTGAACCTTTTCTTGATCCCCTGAAGCTACAGAATCTGAAGTTATAGAGTCCTTCTCTTCCTCAGAATCTGAAGGCGAGGCAAACAACATTTGCTCAGTTGCTTTACTGTGATGTCGAGACCACTCCCTTGCATCAGTCAGCATTAGATTTTCAATTTTTTCATGCAAAGCATTAGCAGATATTTGTTTGAGCAACCAAAACGCAGCATCTTCATTGCTATCTGCCCAATCCATGCCATCAAAAAGATCCTGAACCATAGAAAATGCTTCAATAGGTAATCCACCTATTGTCTCGCCATTCAAAGTTGGAGTCGGGGTCATCGGAGAAGAGACATTGTCCACTTCACCAAACAAAACCTGTACAAAAATAGCCATCAGAGAAACAATAGGTGATTATGGACATTCCACATTTATTTAATCAAGACAAAATCGACCAAATTGCGTCTACCTCTGCTCGAAAACGTTTAGGATATCTTCCCTTTGAATCCCATAGAATATCAATGTCTTCACAGTTCAACATCAAAATGTTTGACCTAATGAAAGCAGTATTAAACATGACACGAAACATCATGACCTCCCTTTCTGGATCTAAGTTCAAGTGAACACATTCCAACACAATGTCACTCTGGACTAAGCACTGGATGTCAATTTTAATAACTCCACAATCTTCCTGCATAATTAATAGCTCCAAAATTTAGATGCATGTCAAATAAATTGTTGGTATATTTTTAACAAGTATGAAAGAAATCTTCTACCTGGTGGTAGTATCGTAATGATTTCTTCTTCTTGGATGTTGAAAATAACATGTTCTTTTCAATATAATTTTGGTTATGTAGATTTTGGCCAAAAATGCGAACCAAAGGTCTACACCCCTTGCCTGAATCAAAGCTAGGAATGGAACGAAGAATGAGACAATCCAAAGAAAGTATCCGCTCAGCAGGAGGCCACTCAGGAGATATATTCCTCCGAGCTATATACTGCAAATAACGAAGCTGAGAAGGTAAGGGATTTAGAGGAGATAGAAGCTGTAGAAGACCTTTAGGGGCTTCACGATGGACAACTTGAAGAGTGCGCTGCTCTCCATGATGCAAATTTCTAAAAATAAGAAAGCTTGCCAAGAGAAATGCTAAGAGTGGCCAACCTCCTCTCTCACAATGTAGTAGTACAACATTTTGATTATGTTCATTAGAAAGCCAACTATCACAGACTCGAAGGAAATGATGGACAAGAGATAAAGGAAGAAGAGGGCATCCCTCGTACTGTCGTGGGTAATCAATAACAGTAACATCATACTCAGCAATAACTTCTGCGAATTTGCTCCTTTTTTCTCCCTCTCTAAAATTAAAAGCTAGAAAAGAAGAATCAGGATATAGCTCATATAACTCTGTTACAATCTCCGTCAAGTAGATTTGATACATTCCATCAGATAAAACCTCAGTTGAGAAGCATGAATCAAAAACTGCATGTTACAAAGGAATTTGTAAGATTAAATTCTTAAAAGCCCAAAAGTTCAAATGATGATTCCTATTCCTTCTAGCCATCTTTATGAGCCTCTTCCTGGATGAAGAGACATCAATATCTAGAGTGTTGTGGCTAAAGGAAATAGGAAAGAACTGGACGATAGAAGATTTAAACTGGATTTCCCAAATAACTAAAAAAAAGGTTCCCTACCATAAACCCTCTCAACAAATTCAAGCAAACCATCAGGTGGTCTTCTGTAAAACAGCCTGCTTAAGAGAGACATCGCACATCCAAAACAGAATATCACATTCCAATCTCAGGAAGCCTGCAAAAAGTTTACTTCATAAGCTTCAGGAACCCAAAGAACGTTAAAACATTCATCCAATATGCGTCATTCATATAAGTAGCATCTTTTAAGTAGATAGAAAACATGCACAATCTGAATGTTGATGTAGGCAAGGGTGGGGGCAAATCATGTGCCTAATTTTTTGGGCTGCTAGTGGTTCTCAGTTTGGGCTTGGATGTCCGATTTTTGCTGTGTTTTTTGGTGAGCTGATGTGTTCTCTACTTAAATCAGCTCATTAATATCTTATGGAATACTTTTTCAGCTCATAAATAGGATTTATTTTGGTTCATCCCCCCCCCCCTCTGCCCCTTCGGTTCCTCTCCCTGACTCCTTTTCCCGTGGCTCATTCCTTCCCCCCTTTGGTTGCATGTTCTGGTTCTCCTGGCTGCTCGTTCCTTCCCCCTTGGCTGCCTATTCCGATTCCATGTGTGGCCCTTCGGCTGTTGCTCCAGGACAGTCTGCTGGCCTTCTATTTCCCTTGTTTTTATGGCTCTGTTGGAGGTGGATTTGGGCTATTTGGCTGTCCCTTTTCTCCTATATATATTTGATGATTTGAAGAATAAAAGAGAGAGAGAGTTATGTGCTAATTTTTTAAACAAACCTTCGGGTTTTTGGAAAAGCTTGCGAGCTTGTTCCGTTCTTCTTCTTCTTGGGAAGGCTTGCGAGCTTGTTCTCTCTTTCGTCTCGGGCTTCTTACCTCATTCTTCTCTCCGCAAGTGACCACCCCATCTGTATATTTCTTCTCAATGAATGCAAGCTTCTTTAGGCGTTGTTTTTAAGTGTTTCATGCTATTATTATCAATGCATTAGTTGTTAAGTGTCATTTGTGTAATTGAATTTTTATTTTGTGCTTTTTTTTTGTGACCAAGGGTCTCCTATTTGTTTTGGGGGCTTTTTGTTGCATCAAATGTGAAAAGCAGCATGCTTTCTGGAACTTAACTAGAAGATCAACATTGCACATCCTTGAGAAGTATAGCTATGCCAAAAAGTGTATCAAACACAAAGGTGGGCTGTTTGGTTGCAATATTAAGCCATAACTTAGGCTTAATCTTGCCGAACAATTTTTTAGCCTAATAAACCTATTATATTCTTAAATCCCATTTTCCGCCTGTTTTAGGATAATTTATGGAGTGGTACGTTATAAGAGGTTTACAGAACTTCTTCAAGTGTCTCTTCTTCTCCCTAATTTAAATCATAAATCTCCAAATAATTTACTAGCATTTTACCATATTTAACATATATCATGCCAAATAATTTTCACAATTGCTGCCTCTACAATTTACTAAACATGGATACAATAAAAACTAAATCCTACTTGAATTATAAACTAGTTGTAGCCAAACAGCCCTTAAAAGGACAAAATGTGATACCGTGCACAATCCTGGCAAAGCATGATAAGTAAGTCCGGCTAGGAATGCATCGTGCCGATTGATTGAATATATATTAACAAGCTGGGTTTATCGATCAACATGGAATCTAAGAAAAATAATAAAGAAGAATCATGTCAATAATACTTGAAGATCGGAAAACATAACTTAAACTCTATGTTTCCCTAGTTCATGAAAAAGGCTACATAATCACCGCCAAATTTTTCTTCGTCTGAGCTGATCATATAGTGCAAAGTGACGCACAACGTATAAAATCGTGCATATCGCAGACATTGGCTCTTAAGAATAAAATAAATAAATAATCATCTAAGAGACTTCATGAGCTGAAATCTCTTCTCGCATTGCAAGAAGAACACCAAACGACAAGCCCTAAACACCGTCTCGAAGGAAACCAGCACCCATGCACAGAATGACAATAAGCCGATAACCCTAACTAAAAGCAAAGATTATCAGAGATGTTTGCCTTCGTATACGGAACTCAATGCCAGAAGCTTCGTCGAGAATGGAATGCCCGAGGAGTTAGGAGGTGTAGGCTCGAGCGCACATTCATAGATTCTTCTTCCGAAGTTCGTAAGCGCAAAGATCTCACATAAGAGCGCAAGCAGAGGTTGTTCGGTTCTGGAAGTGATTGGTTGTTCTTTTATTTGGTCCGGTGAACACGTAGGCTCCTCCGGCCACCAATATTTTAGTGACACCTAGTACGAAGAAAAGTCGCCGATCCGATCCGTTGTTTTTTGGGTTCTAACGCGTGTATTTTTTTAAATCTTTGACGAGCCGAACAACATCCCATTACCTTTTCGACATATTTCAAATACCTAGCAAATACCGAGTTGTACCTAGTTTTTTCTAGCAATACCGAGCAAATACCTAGCAATACCGAGCAAATCCTTAGCAAATACTGAGTTGTACCGAGAATGCCGAGCAAATCCCTAGCAATACCGAGCAAATCCTTAGCAATACCGAGCAAATACTAAGTTGCAACGAGTTGTACCTAGTTTTTTCTAGCAATACCGAGCAAATCCTTAGCAATATCGAGCAAATCCTGAGCAAATACTGAGTTGTACCGAGTTGTACCTAGTTTTTTCTAACAATACCGAGCAAATACCTAGCAATACCGAGCAAATCCCTAGCAATACTGAGCAAATCCTGAGCAAATACCGAGTTGTACCGAGTTGTAGAAAAACTCGGTACAACTCGATATTTGTATAGTTTTGGTCTTCACAGAGCGGTATTTCTCGTTTTTGCAAAGCAATACCGAGCAAATACCGAGCAATACCGAGCAAATACCGAGAAAATCGCGAACATAGCATTCTCGGGTTCAGCTCCGGGTCAAGTCGTCGGGCCGCGCGGTAAAGAGTAAGAGCACGTGGCGACATGTTATTGGCAGCCGAACGTACCTCTACGTCAGGTCAGATGACGTAATAATTGTTCCTGCGCATGAGAGTGATCTAATGAGCTTTCTTTAAAGATTGTTTGTGGTATTATATTGGTTGTAGCCTGTCATAAATGATTGATTACACTACGGGCAGAGAGTAACGATTCTTAATTGATTCAATGAAGCCACCTGTAATAATAATTAATTAATTGAATATGATAATTGATTAATTAGATGAGTGATAATTGATATGACTAATGACCAATTGACATGACTAATGACCAATTAAAAAAAATATTGAGAACACCACATTAAAGTCATATGTCCTGCCTTGCTAAATCATTAATCAGCATGCGTATATTAATAGCACCGATGACAATGAGAGATACATTAATATTATTGATAGTATTTGATGTATTAATAATACATAAATAGATGATACATATGAATAGATAACATAAATTCTTTTGTGATTTATGAATAATTTTTATGTCGTTGTTTTATCGATTTTTTGAATTTTATATGAATTATTGATTATATTAGACTTAGTATATCATATTGATTCTTTAGTCATTTAATTTTATTAAAAACTTTAGCTTGTTTTTTAGTATTAGTGGACTTTTGCGATCATTATGTGGATTTTTAATAATTCCAAGTCAAGGAATGGGTGAGAACCATTTGGAGTGAGGTTGGCAGAGATCCTTAGGTTTATTTAGATTTTGTTTTACATTTTTGTTTATTCTTTTGTAATTAGGAGCTTGTGATATATTCATGATTGTAGTGATCTTCTAACTAGTGTAAATTATATTTTATTGAATGAATAGCAAAATATTTTGATGTATATAATTTTATAGTTTCTTTTGTTCATTATTATTTATATTGATATTTTATAAAATATCAAGTATATTCTTAAAAAAAAAATTTTAGTTGCTTTCGCTAATGTGTTTTGATTTTATGATTTTTCTGTATTAATTTTGTAACCAAATCCTTAAGGGAAATGTCATGCATTGATTCAATGTATGACGATATTTTTCTAAGGTAGATAGATTTTTAATAATCCAATTTTTTAATTACTTTTTAAATAAAAATTTTCAATTTCAGCATCGTGCATTGTCAAAGAGGAGAGAGGGAAGAGAGAGATAATCTTGTTCAGGACTTTTTCATCTATCAATTTAGTTCAGATAATTATTATAATTGCTATAAGTAACAAAAATTTTTATTTTTATTTTCAATATTTTTTATCATTATATATAATATATCGTTAAAAAAATTTCTTTATCGAGAACAAATCTCAAGGAAAATAATAAATTAGAAACTTTAATAATTAAATCAGAGACTATGTGAACTTTGTTTTTAGCAAGCTTAAAGTCGAATTGAAAGCCTAAAAAAATACAAACCCAACGACTCCAAATTCGGCCCAATCAGAGATCAAATGGGTCCAAATTGAAGACCCGAAGCGCATTTGAAAAGTTCAAACCATAATTTGGATTACCAAACGGTTTTCAAACAAGACATGGATATAATCGAATCGTGCGGCTCGACGAGACGAATCCAATGAATTTAAGATCGTTGAATTCTAATTTCATAAAGACATTCAAATGCTCAATAAACGATCCACAATCAAGGGATTCAAATCGGTCGTCCATTCAAACCACTCACAATTTACCCCTTGATCATCCTCTCATTTACTGACCATATCACTCTCAAAAAACTATAAACATATCATTTATCATAAAAGGGGACCCTCAAAAGGGGGGAAGAAGGAGGCTCGAGCAAGAAGATAATGAAGAAAATGAAGAGACTACTCCTTGACCACCGTCGGACTTCTACCCGACAGCCGAATGACGACGGATTTCTGCCCGATCACCAACTAGTGTCTGAATTAAGCAAAAAGAAGAGGAATAGAAGGAAGAGGCTCTTCCTCAACCACCATCAGACTTTCACCCGGCAACCAACCGACGCTAGAGTTATGCCCGATAGCGGATCACCGACGCCGGTGTCATGCCCGACCACTATCTGACATTGGGTTCTACCCATCGATCGACCGTCATCGAATTTCAACCCAACGCCAAACTTCTGCTTATTGCCGGACTTTATGCATGTCATTGTGCTTCTACCCGATGCCAGACTTCCGTCCGTAGGTTGATTTCTACACGATGCCAAACTTATGTCCGTCGTCAGACTTCTGCCCATCGTCGAACTTCTACCCTACTGCCAACCAACACTGAAATTCTAACGACAACTAATTGACATCAGACTTCTAACCAACTGTCAATTAATGTTAATTTTTCTACACAGCCACCAACTAACTCTGGACTTTTACAAAGCCACCAATTTCAATCAGACCTTCGTCGCCTTCCAACTACGATCCTTCTGATCTCTGTTGTCTGTCGATTACGGTCCTTCTGACGTCTATCGCTAGAAAATGGTCATTCTGACCTCCGTTATCTATCGATTACGATCTTTCTGACCTATGTTGCGTTACAATGATCTATATGACCTCTATCGCCCGCCGACTACGTTCCTTCTGACCAAACGAACACATAAATAAAAGATAATAGTCATGCCTCTAAACAGATGAAGCCATATGAGATTAACTATCTGATATATAATATGGAACTTGCTGACCTATGCTGCTGTTATGTTATTTATTTTAAAGATATGGAGATTATATATATATTTCGGCCTATTGCCGGACTTTATGCATGTCATTGTGCTTCTACCCGATGTCAGACTTCCGTTCGTAGATTGATTTCTACGCGATGCCAAACTTATGCCCGTCGCCATACTTCTGCCCATTGCCGAACTTCTACCAGACTGCCAACTAACACTAAACTTCTAACGACAACTAATTGACATATGACTTCTACCCAATTATCAGTTAATGTTAATTTTTCTACACAACCACCAACTAAATCCGGACTTTTGCAAAGTCACCAATTTCAATCAGACCTTCGTCGCCTTCCAACTACGATCCTTCTGATTCCAACTACGATCCTTCTGATCTCTGTTGCCTGCCGATTACGGTCCTTCCGACGTCTATCGCTAGAAAATGGTCATTCCGACCTCCGTCATCTACCGATTACGATCCTTGACCTATGTTGCCATACAATGATCTGTATGACATCTATCGCCCGTCGACTACGTTCCTTCCGACCAAACGAACACATAAATAAAAGATAATAGTCGATACCTCTAAATAGATGACGCCATATGAGATTAACTATCTGATATATAATATGGAATTTGTTGTTATGTTATTTATTTTAAATATATGGAAATATTATATATATATATATATATATATATATATATAGTAAAATGTAAGATTTTTATGGATTATAGTATGAAGTACATATTCACTCAGAATGATCTAAATGTGAGGCAAATGAGATGGATTGCGTTGATTAAATATTACGATTTGACTATTTAGTATCAACCTTGCAAGGCTAATATGGCAGCTAAGGCTTTGAACATGAAGTCTTCTAGATATTTATTTATTCAACATACCTCCGATGACTATTTTATACGAGATATAAAGAGACTACAATTATAGATAATTTCTTCCACTAATTTCATTTATGGTGCATTGCCCAAATAATTATTCAACCTTCTATGCAATAAATGATATATAAATCTCATAAGTCATATGCATAATATTTGAATTTGATTTATCTAATCAAAGGTGGCAAGAAATCTAAATTAATATCATTTTTTTAATAATAGAATTTGGGTTCCTAGTTCTTAAGATTTGAGATCAATTATTTTGCATGAGTCTCGTTATTCAAAGTATCCATGTAGTAAAATATATAACAATCTAAAAAGTTATTATGGTGGCTTGGACTTAAAAAGAAGATAACGACATTTGTTTCAAAATATAAAGCCCGTTAGTCTGTGAAACCATAACATGAGGGATTGGGAGATTTTCTATAACCATTATCCATTCTAGGGTGGAAATGATAGCTATAAGTTTTATTTTGGGTTTTTCCAAGTTGAGATAGGAAACATAATGCCTTTGGGTAATGGTTGATCGTCCCATGAAATCAGCTCGTTTCATTTTGATTCAACAGTGAGATTCAGTGGACAAATTATCACATGCATACTTTCGTAATATTATCATATTATATGGGATACCATAAGTTATAGTTTCTGACATAGATGAAAGGTTTATCACATACCAAAATTCAGTAAGATTTTGGCAATAAACTACATTTTAATATGATATTTCATCATTAGATTGATGGACAGTCCAAAAGGATTATACATGTAATGTAAGATCTTTCGAGGATGAGTATTTTGGATTTTGGTGGCTGCTAGAAGGATCACATTTCTCTTATTGAATTTGCTTACAATAATAATTTTCAATCAAGTGTAGAAATTGCTCTGTATGAAACTCTATATGATAAGAAATGCATGCCCCCTCTATCTTGGATGGAGATGGGTGAAAGACATTTGATTGGACCAGACTTGATGGATGACACTACATAAAAGATATGTTTTAGCCAAGATCGATTAAACTATACATGATAAGCAAAAAACAATTATTTTGTTGCTAAGCAAGTAGAGTCAAGTACGATACTTTATATATGTGAAAATCAAGCGGATGAAATACATTAATAGTTTTGACAATGAAAGAAAGTTGAGTACAAGATATGTTGAGCCCTTTGGAGTGATTGAAAGGATTGAAAAGTTTGCATATACGCTATAGTTGCCAAATCACATGAATGAAATTCGTAATATATTTCACATGTTACTTTTTAGGAAGTGGGTATCTGACTCTAGAAACATGATATATATTGAAAACATTGAGGTAAGTTCAAATATGAGCTATACGAAATAACCATAGAGAATTTTAGCCTATAATGTTAGAAATTTAAGACATAAACATATTCTAATGTTTAAAGTCTAATGGAAAAGAAGAACTGAAAGAGAACCTGCTAAGGAAAAAGAGTATGAAATAATATAGTTGCATCATGATCTATTTAAGTGTTATGAGGTATGAGTTTTGAAATGTTGAGGATGACACTTTTTGTAGGAGGGGATGGTTGGGATGTCTTGAATTTCAACATATGGATTAACCTGCTCTAACCCGATTGGAAAAAGATAAATATTTTAAAAATTGTATTTTGAACGCATTTATATGTGTTTAAAAGAGTTTTGGAGTATGAAAAAGGTATGCATTTGTTTTAGAATTAGTTCAAGGGGGTTTTGGAGTGTATTTTAACAAAAAAATACGAATTTTTACTATTTAAGTGCCCTAATATTGGGTGTTCAAGCACCGTCCAATAGTGGTTTTGGAAATTGTGTGTCTTTTATTGAATAAAATATAGTTTAGATTATGAAAAATGGTTTGTAGTATGATTAAAATGTTAAAATGATATTTTACACAATTTTAGATAATTTTGTTATGTTTAAAAACTATGTATTTTTACTTGGTAAAAATTTTGTTTGCCTACCGTTATAGAAAATTATGCAATTTTGATATGGACTCAAAATATGCTTTAATTTAACAATATGATGAAATGTGTGCTTATGTGAATGAATTATGTCTGCATGAAGAAATAAGGGTTCATAATCTTTTTATATTTAGTATGTGTTAGAGAATCTGGTGCCTATAAGGCATACTCCAATGGTTATATATATAACCCAGGTTTATGGACATTAACCCTCTTAGTATTTTTTTTTGGGCATCAACCCTCTTAGTATACTCAAAAAATATCCTACTTACATTTGAATTCTTAAACTATTTGTCTCCACCCAGGTAGTTCTTTGATAGTCAACTATTATTTTTCCCATGGAATTCTTTATAATGTGGATATTCTCAAAACCCTACTTAAAAAACTTTGAAAAATTCAACCATCCTAATTGTAATATTCTTGCCTCCAAGATTGATCACAATAGGGCAACCCTCCCTCTACTTTTTACCAACCATCCTCAATAATAGTATAATAGTTGACTTGATTTGAATTCATTTACATCACATAAAATTATTAAATTTAATCTCTATATAATTAATAAACTCCAGAGTAAATCAATAATTTATTATTTTTTGTGTAATATACAAAAATTTTGAGAAAAAAAGTATATTGTCTATATACGTTGATAAATTATTATGTACGGAGATCTAACATAATGAACCGTTCTTATTTCTATGAATAATAAAAGTGCAACCTACTGTGAAAAATAAATATATTTTTACTATTCATAAAGTTAAACAGAATGATTATTTATGTTCGACATGCATTCTCCCATGGGCTTTGAACTTGCATCTCTCTATAAATTTATTTAAAAAATTTAAAATATATTTTAAATTGTGATAAATAAATAATTTTCCACTCAGTTCGAAGTGGAAGGGTCTGTAGATACAGAACTCCCCTTGGCCTATTGGTTGAGAGCTTAGGCTTCCAATTAAGAGGTTCAAGGTTCGAGTCAATGTGTATGCATTGTGTGTCTGAATTTGCCTTAAATGGCCTAAATGTCCAAAAAAAGAGAAAACAATCAAGAAAAAAAAACAAATCAAAAAAAAAAAAAAAAGAAAAAAAAAAAGTCTGCAGCTTTAATTAACTGTATGTCAGCAAACATACACCACACAACCCTCCCATCATTAACGAGGGCCGGTTATTTTAACATTTCCACGATTTCGTTCCACGCACGGCGTACCGATTCAGACCGCAGCTTCCTATTTATTTACGGGTTAACCCTTTCCACTTTACCCGATATTTCCAAAATAATTACTTGTGTGGTTATTCCCGCTCTTCACTTTACTTGGCATATTTCAATTTCCTCTAGCTGGGCGCGGGGTCATTCCATTTTAAACTCTACTGTCGTCCCCACCGCCACTGCCACCGACCGCCACGTCATCATCTCCTTCACCCGCTTCCGAAAGTCTCACCTCCCCCATTCATATACTTTTATATAAAAAAATAATAATAAATAAAAATCGTTAGCTACTTCCTGCTCACCAAGATTCCCCTGCTCCTCTCCTCCGACAGCTTACTCTTTCTTCCGGTGAAGACTCCTTTGATCTCTCTCCCTCCATGGCTGGCGTCTCTTCCCCTTACCCACATTGCTTGCTTACAAAAGGGGCAAACTCCGCCTCTTCCCTTTTCGGTCTTCTTTAAGACCCGAGCATGTGACTTCTGACCAGTTGGTTACTTCTACCACTCTTCATCTTTAATTCTCTCTGTCTCTCTCTCCTTGTCGCTTTCTGGCGTCAATGGCGGGGCCTTCGTTCTCTTCCTCCTCGTCGCGAACGAGGAGCAGCTCGCCGTTCAGTCAGCGGAGGCCCCTCACGAGCTCGTATTCTTCGACGTCTTCGTCGGCTTCGTCATTCATGAACGGGCGGCTAATCCCACGGTCATCCCCGTCTTCCGCCTCCTCCAACTTCTATGGTTCTGGTGGGATACCGAGATCCGTAACGCCAAACCGCAGTCGCTGCGATTACTCCAGTAACCGCGCTCCGATCGGCTTCGTATCTGCCGATGAACTCGTCATGGATGCCGGTGATGCGACAAGCTCAGGGGATAGCATTACTGTCACTGTCAGGTTCCGGCCGTTGAGGTACAATGAGTTTGGATTTAGTTAGGGCGTGGTAGATCTGCTGTTTCTTTTATTTTGGATGATTGCATTGAGCGGGATCTTGAATTTGTGTGGCTTTTTGCTGTGGATTTTGTTTTTAAGCGAGAGGGAGTTCCAGCGTGGAGATGAGATCGCGTGGTATGCGGATGGGGATAAAGTGGCGCGCTGCGAGTATAATCCGGCCACGGCTTATGCATTCGGTAAGTCTAAATTTGGATGGTTTGAAATGTGAATTACACTCTCCAGGAACTCTGAGTGAGACCTGATAAGTGGGGAGTAGCTCTGATATGTGTTTCCCACAATTGCTTGTTAGATGCAAATTCATTGCTTATTTGTTGAGGATCTGTGTTTATTTTGCGCTTTTCCTGTGTTTTTTATTGGAACTCTAATGTCTCTTACATTGCAGTAACTTATCAAGAAATGCAGGGACATGCTTTCTCCTGTAAATTATTCACAGGGAGGGGAAAGTGCACCGGTTATGACATTTGCGTTTTCTTAACCAAAAACATTAGAGAGTTCAGTTGGAATAGAATAAACTGATAGGAGCTGAATAGGCTTTCAATTTTTATTGTTCACACTCAGGCTTCATTTGGTGATATTATGCTATTACGTGCTGTATAAAGTTACTTTTACTTATAGAGATTACTGAGGTGCTTCCAAGTGCGTTGCTTAAGTTAAGTCATTAGGGAAGTGAATGTACAATATAGCCTCTTTTACATTTTATTTACAAATATTAAAATTGTAACATACCAGGATTTTGCAAAGCATTTCCTAAACTTCCCAAATAAAGCATTTGTTGTAATTAAACAAGTATCTACAGCTATCTTGTAAACAGTTGGTTGCACTGTCGTGCATGAAGAATGAAGTTTTGCTACTTGGAAGTGGCCAAACAATTTTTTAAAGTTTCCGTCTTTTGAAGTGATCGTATATATTAAACAAAATACTCTATATCGGAAAAAAATGTTTATGCTCATGCCTCATGTCATAAATGTTTTTTAGGGATCCTCAAAGCATGGCATCATCAAAGATCTGGAGTCTTTAGCTTCTTGTTTGTAAGGATAGAAATTTGAGCTTAGGAGGCCATAGTAATTTCCAAACATCATTATAAAGAACATCTAGGTATTCTGGCTCTCTTTCTTGTTGCAAATAGCTCGTTTGATATCCATTACTGGTTTTGATGAAATTGCTTCTTTTTATGTTATGGAAGTTGAAATGATTCAGGATTTAAATCTTGAGCTGTTGGACGGTCAAGGCTTGTGCATGTTTTGGATTTTGAAATGACTTTGCACAATTTGAGGATTTTTAAAATTGTTTTATATGGATTTAAGAAGGTCTCAAATGGAAGCCAGCGTTGTTTTAGTCACCAATTAAGTAAATTTGCACCATAAATTGCTATGTGTTTACTTGAGGATTTGAATGAGCCTAGAAGGAGAGGAAAAAAAAAAAAAACTCTCTGGTGCATTTTTCCTGCATATGTGCAATGGAATCATTCAATTATCTTTGCATTATCAAATTTATCTATCAGATTTAGATTCAACTTATTCTCCATAATCTTTCCCAAAGTTTTAAAAGAGGAAGCGTGAAGTAAGGCATTTGCTCACATGGAAAATGAAATTTAAGCTTCAAAGTGCAAAGTATAAGCTTCTTCTTTTCATTTTATATACAACAACAAAATACAACAACGTCAAACCTTTATCCCACTACGTGGGGTCGGCTACATGAATCCTTTTTCTCCATTGTTTCATGTTAAATGAAAGAAACATTAAAAATAAGAAAATAAGAAATTTGCATATTTAAGAAAATGCATTTTTTTAACATTTCCGATTAATCTCTTTTAGTTAGCCCATTAAAACATGATTTCATAGCACTAAATTATGTAATGTATATTTTTTTGAAATAATATTATTATAATAAACAAGTATTATGGAGCAAGTTTAAAGGAACTTGAGTTAAAATTAAAACAATACATGATGCTAAGTTAAAATTATAACTATCAAACTATAGGTGTACTTTACTATTCAAATAAATGATACTAATAAAACATAAGTGTTGAACTTGGATGAATGATGAAGTGTACATGATGCAAGACTACGTATGAATGCAATCAATTCGTAGGAATTTGCACAACTCTTGATTAGAATAAAAGTGTAGAAATTATTAACAGCTCAAACAACAAAATAAAATGAATGAGGGGTCACGCCCGCTTAGGTTAAATCACATAACCAGAGATTCGAAACTTTCAAATGAAATAGAAAACAACATTATGCCAAAATAGTAGTTTCAAATAAAATCCCTAGTCTAACAGTGAAATTAGTAAGCACAACTTGATGGTGCACTTGAATATCATCGAATAGGAAGAAGTTCTCTTACAACTTGAAGTGAAGAAACAACCCAAGGTTCCTCCCAAAATTTGAGAGCAACTTCAGATTTTATCCCAAAACTTGAGAGAAATTTCAGATTTTTCTTTTTTAGAACATAGAGATATTGGAGGGAGATTTAATGCCTAGAGTTCAAGTGGGGAATTAGTGAGGGAGAGGGGATTTGAGAGAGAGGGGGGGGGGGGGGCTTTTTTAGAACATAGAGATATTGGAGGGAGATTTAATGCCTAGAGTTCAAGTGGGGAATTGGGGGGGGGTATGGAGAGAGAGAAGGGTGATGGGCGACGACAATGAAGAGGGGAAAAGGGAGGATTTAAATATATTTCCAAAAGTGAGATTACCACTTTGGAAACAAATTAATTAAAGTGGGATTAGGGAAATTTCGATCGAGAGGAAATTAGAGGATTTAAAATTATTTCCTAAGTGAGGGATGGGTTTTAGGAAACAATTAAAGGAGCTTTAATGGGATGGGGAGAGAGGGGGCTGGCAACATCCAAGGGGGAGAGGGGATTGAGGGCAATTAATTGGGGTTCCTATTTTTGGATTTAGGAATTAGGAAAGAGAGAAGGGTGATGGGCGGCGACAACGAAGAGGGGAAAAGGGAGGATTTAAATCTATTTCCAAAAGTGAGATTACCACTTTGGAAACAAATTAATTAAAGCGGGATTAGGGAAATTTCGATCGAGAGGAAATTAGGGGATTTAAAATTATTTCCTAAGTGAGGGATGTGTTTTAGGAAACAATTAAAGGAGCTTTAATGGGATGGGGAGAGAGGGGGCCGGCGACATCCATGTGGGAGAGGGGATTGAGGGCAATTAATTGGGGTTCCTATTTTTAGATTTAGGAATTAGGAAAGTTTTATACTACATCCAATTTAAATTTTAAATTCTAATAGTGTGAGTTTAGAAACTTTCCTAAAATAGAGAGGTTAAATTAGGAAAGATGTTGAATTCAAATTCCAATGATTTTGAATTTCAAAATTATCTTAAATTAGTCTTCAACCCAACTAGGAAACTCAAGGGAGAAGGGAAGTGAGGGATGCCCGACGGCTATGGGGGTATGTCCGACGGCATGGAAGGGTTTCGGGCAAGGTTGCCGGCGGCTTGTGGGGGAGAAGTTGTGGGGCTGGATTAGAAGGAGATGTTAGCAGTGTTTGGTGGGTGGAAGGAAATGACTAGGGAGAAGGAGGAATGTGAAGAAAAGATGGGTGATAGGGTTAAGGGAAACAAAGATATGAAACCACGAACCCGACCGTCTCCAAGGTTGGTGAGTTATGCGCCAATCTTTCTCTCCAAGGGATCTCTCACTGATCTCTCAAGCTCTCTCAAGAACTCCAAGCAAGAAGACAAAATTCTCAAATAATCATTCATTACCCAAAACAATAAGCAAGGGGCTATAAATAGCCTAGTACAAGAGACTCAAAAATAAAAGTCGAACATGCCCTCGGGGCTGACAAACAACATCCCTTTACTAGAAGGGTACAACAACAACAACAACAACAAAAAACAACATCAAGCCTTTATACCACTATGTGGGGTCGGCTACATGAATCCTTTTTTTCCAAATAAAACTAGAAAGGTACAACGGGAAATAAAAATAAAATAAAAACAATGACGCATAACATGAATAAAAAATACAATAACTCGATCGTGGCCGTAGATTGGCGGCCACGCCTCTGATAAACCTTCCACGATCTGATGTCCCCATCAGGACAAGGTAAATAATTCAATCTTTAAGTAACAAATATGGCAATGAATAAAGTTGATGTGAAAAGAGAGTGTCAATATGATAAGATATATGATAAGATGAAAGAAAAGATAATACAAGATAGATTTTAATACAAAATTAGCTTGATTATTTTTCTTTTTTTCTTGTTTTAATCAAATGTTGAATTGTAACACCCCAAAGTATCACTATACTGTACTGTAGAGTGTAACAATAATCGCAACTCACTTGGTTATCTGGTTGAGTCTTACATGAATTTTGACGTTTAATTTATTTCTCTTCTTATGGATTGTTTGACTATTTTAATACTTTACTATTTTATTTCCCTTATGTGTTTAGGAGGTTTTAAGGGTTGTTTGAGTGGAGTTGGTTGATCGAGGCTAAAAAAAAAATCTTCAGTAGTTTAGGATTTCTTGACAATTTTTTGCTTGAAACTTACTATTAGTGAAATGTAGGGTTTTCTTTGATCAAAGGCTTGGATGTTAGCTTTTACGGTAGTGATTTTAGATTTATTTGGCATGTGGTTAAAAAATTATGAATTTTTTATGTAGAGTGGTTACAATAGGAGTTAGGTTTTTTTTTTGTAGGGGTTCAACTTTATTTATTTTTGTGTGGTTAAAGTGATTTAAGGCTTTGAGAAGGTGGTGAGAATGTATTATAACAATAAACTAGAGAGAAAATAATATGTTATGGTTTACAAATCTTAATTTGGTTGATTTACAAATTAATTTAAACGTTGACAACACATCAGCACCTCGTAGACACAAATTTTATGAGAGATCAAAGCTATTTTTCATCAAGGCAATGAAAGTGTTGTTAAAACGTGGAGTGTTATAAAAAAAAAATTTAAGTTCCATCCAATGACCATAAGTGTCGGCCTACTTAATGAACCCTGTATGGAAATTATTGCAAATCACTCAAATCATGAGAAATTTCATTTTTTTTAGTTGCAATTATGAGTCCTTAGTCGAGGTGCTTGTGTAGCTTCCAAAAGAAAATTTAACATTTAAAAATTCCGTCCAGATCTCACTTGACTGCCCGTTTAAAATTCCAATGAAAAATGTAGAAAAAAATAAAGTTCATGTACTTATCATGAAATTCGACATTTATAATTGATCTCGTAAGAGGGCTCTTTGCTTATCTTGCATCACTTTTCCATCCTTTTGAATCGCATAGAATGTTGAATCTGGTTGTTAGAATTCAAGAGAAAATGAACTTAAACTTGCCATGCTTCATATTGCATTATGAAGTGTAAACTTCACGTCAAAAATCTTACACTTCATATCAAGAAAATTTTCATGTTTGTGCTTTAGAGCTTTTTGGGACTGCTTCTCTTTGAAGTGCGCTTTTCTATCTTAAAAGCCCCCTTTTTAATCATTGATCTTTTCAAATCATGATGACTTGTAATGTTTTAATGGTGTCTTTGTTATCCCCTAACTATGAACCTTGGACATTGATAAAAGAATCATAGAACATGACGTTGAGATGGGATAGGACATAATCATAAAAGTAGTATTTTTTAAACACTGGACATGATGCTTTCTTTTATACATTATTAATATAAAATGTGTAATTAGTATTCCTAATGCCATTATTTTCATTAAAAAGCATTAGACAATGAAGATTGTATCATATGTTGGACATAAAAGCTTAGGATAGAAAATTGGTTTAACTATTTTTTTTGGGGACATTTAGGCTAAGACAGACTCACACACGCATTGCATACACAAGACTCATAACCCAAGACCTCTTAGTTGGTAGCCTCAGCTCCCAAGCAACTTACCAAGGTGAGCTGTGTGGTTTAACCATCATTAGACTGAATTATTTCATCAAGCACGCTTAATTTGTAAACAACATAACAGTTTAAGTAATATTTATTAGAGTTTATACTTTTAGTGGACACGATATTTCTAATTTTGGAAAAAAAGCACACATGAGACTAGATTTTTTTTTTTCAGTATGTCAGGCACATATCTGGCACGTTTGTTCCTTAAAAATATTCGACATGGCCTTAAAAAGGATTTAGAAGCGTATGTGTTTCTTGGGCCCCACAGTATGTATTTCACATGCATCATAATATTTTTTGGCAACATCCTTGATTTCCATGTAACCGCAGTCAGTAACTCTTTGTTTCTTACCACTGAAATATATCCGATAGTAACTGGCAGTGAACTATGCTAAAACTGCTTAAAATATAAACTGAATGGGCCTTCCTGTATCTTTGTTAGAATATTTTCATTGTTGTTTACTTGGTTATGCAGCTTGTTCCTATTGAAATTGATTTGCACTTCCTGATTTGGTCATTTTATATTATTCATGAACAGTATATTACCTTTATGTTGTGTTTTTATTAATACTTGTACTTTTTAGGTCTAGAAATTATATTGATGCTGTTATATTTATGTGTTTAGATAGAGTTTTTGGCCCTTCCACAACTTCTCAAGTGATTTATGATGTCGCTGCCCGTCCTGTTGTGAAGGCAGCAATGGAAGGCATTAACGGTGAGTTTTGCCTGGTTTTTAGTCTGAGTTGATTGATTCATTTATGAATCACCATAATTTTCCGGTCGTTTGAATTTTGAATATCATTTTTAGTTAACCAAGCTGGGCAGATTTTAAAAGAAAAAGGCTTCTGTTTGTGGGATGTCTCAATTTCAGAAGTTCTTTTAATCGTAGACATTGATCACTCCCTCTTGAACAATTAATTGGGTCTTGCCCTCTTTTTTTTTGAGCTCACGCTTACCATAATTTTTTTTATTTTTAATTGTTCCCTCTGGTTGTCCGTGTTGTCATTCTTGTTGTATATGCTGTATCATGTCTTTCTATGATTGCTTTTTGATCATGTTTTTTGTTTAGCTTTTCTCTCTTCAAACTTTTATTTTTTTCATTGGCTTATCAACTCCGATACTTGTTGATCTTCTAAATTCTAGGGACTGTTTTTGCCTACGGTGTTACCAGCAGTGGAAAGACCCACACGATGCATGTAAGCTATATTTTTTTAGAATGTTTTACGAATGAACTTTATGTGGAAATGAAATTTGCACACTTTGAAATTTTTTTGTGAAACTATACTTGATCATATCTGTTGTATACATAGATATGTACCTCGTACGACACAAACTGCATTTAAAGAATTTCTTTAGTTATTTTGAACTTATGTTTGGTTTTTATTGTTATATTTTATTTTTTGGTTCTATGGTTGATTTCAGTATAGGAATACATAGTTAATAGGTTGCTACTCAAATGAGAAGATGCTAATTTGGGTTAATGTGATGAGGTAATGATTAACTGCACCAATTTGTATTTTTCTCGATATGCTAATTTGGACAAGTCATTATTTTAATTGCATGTATTGCACGCAATACGGACGAGTCCTTTCCAGGAGAATCAACTGTGGCATAGACGAAGAGAATCAAAGTGGAAAAATTGAATTTAGTTTAAAATAATACTTTTTTGTTGAATGTTTTTTCCTTAATGGTGCGGGTGAACTCATCAACTACAGTCTTTGATGTAGCTGGATTCAACATTAGAAGGAAAATTATTCAGGCAGTTGTTTAAATAAAAAGGCTCATTCAGATTAGTGATTGATATGCGTGATTGTTAGTATTCGAGATCATTTTTTTAATACCACCAACTATGGTAGTAGTTGTTCTAATTCTATCATATTACTTGCCAGGTCTCTGATGAGGAGCAATATATATGTTAGTTGGAAGGAAATAATGGACATTTAGAGAAACTGCCTGCTTCTGGGTTATTTTATTGTGTTGACCCTTGGATATGCTTGTGAATTTTTCTACTACAACATGTGGGTGATGCATGAATTATATATTTATATACCGTTCAATCACAATCTATGGTCATCTATATGATAAAATGTTGCAGGGTCACTTGATGTAACCAACTTTCCATATGTTTGGATTGTTAGAAAATGCACAATCTAGCTTGGCAGTCAAGGTCTAATTACCCCTATTCCCACGGTTGTAGTGAATCCATATTGCCCATGAATCTATTGTCAACCGTGGTTGAATACATGCCAATGATTGAAGTCACTGAATTGTTTATTGTGCACTGTTTTATTTGGAGGGAAGAATTATAAAACCCAAAAACTAAGAGAACCCAACGTAAACTTTAATTCATTTTCAATTTTCATTAAAAGATTCAATTTCCTTTATAAGCATTTTAATGCCTCATGAATATTAATCTAATTAAATTTCATTTCTTTATTTTAGGATTTAAATAAATCTTAAATGTATAAAGTCTAAAGGTTGATCTAATCACATTATTTCCCTTTTCCAACTCTTTCTAATCATCTAACTTAGTTTAAAATGATATGGAATTTCAGTTTTGTCTTAAACTCCCAATTTTTGGAAACCAAATTTCATTATTTTCTTCTAATGAACATGCAAAAATATCCCCTTAACCTAATTAGACCTTAAATTAATTAAATTTTTTGATTCAACCAAAAGCTCTAAATTTGAAAACCAAATTTTCATTAATCTCTTTATAATAGCATGCCAAATCTTCCCAATTATTTAATTAATAAATAGGACATTTCTTTTTTCTGATTTAATTTAATTAAAAATTAGGAAAAATAATATTTTATGAAAAATCCTAAATCCTACCCTTAAAAACTTCCATAAGACCATTAGAAATAATATTCATTAAAAATTTTTTTCATAGAAATTAAATATGGGAAAACCCTAATTTTTGAAATCTTAAAAATAATTTGGGAAAACTTGAATTTTATGTTTAAAATCATTCATACATCCTTCCCTAACATGTTTTTCCCAAAAATTTTGAGTTTTAGAAAAACCCTAGATTTTCAATTCAAGAAATATATAGGAAAATTAAAAAATTTCTTGATTAAAAATATACCTTAGACTTTCCTCTTCGATTTCTCCCCTCCACCAAGAAGCTCGCAGGAAAACCGCCGCCCGCCGCTCGCCAAAAACCCTAGCCGATGCCCTTCTCCCTCTCTAGTTCGCTCTCTCCCTTGCTCGGCCGAAACAAATGAGAAGTTTCTTTCCTTTTTCTTTCCTTTATGAAGTTATTTGGGTGGTGGGGGCAAATGACGCATGTGCCCCACTAGCCAAAAGTTCTTATTATGAGGAAGAGGTCTATTAAGTCTTTTGGCCATTAATAAACTTCATTAATTTTTAACTTTAAATCCGTGTGAAATTAAGTATAAATTCTTTATACCAAATTGCTCCAAATTTCGCTTAAAATTTTATAAAATTGATTGCTTCAAATTCCGACGACTTCTAAAATTCTCCTAATTTCGTCATAGTGCATCGAAATGCTCGTGAAGCTTACGATCGACATTTTCGGGTTTTATAGTAATTGGCATGGTAACTATTCTCATGTCATTTATATTGCAATCTATTATGAACAGTTGAGTCATGAAGCTGAATTGGATAATAGTTGACAATTAGTCATGAGCAGTTTGGATACACTGCACTGTGGATTTATGGTACCCAGAATTTAGACTATGAATCTTTGTTTGTGCATTCTCTACATAGGCTTTTAGAATTGTTGGTTGTACCATCAGCTACTTTACATTTTTATTTTTGTCAAAATTTAATCAAAGCACAGGAAACGGGGCCTCAAGATAATTTATTTATCTGTTCATCTCCAATGGTTTAAGGCGTATAAGCTTGAAATGAGTGCTAAAGTGGCAAAAGGTTTTAAGGTGATGGAATGAGAGGTAGCAATTATTTACAACCTGATATGGATTGCCCGTTTCATTTTCCTTTGCCATACGTGCATTAGCTTGCAAGCTTTTGTAATCAACTTGTATATGTCAATGCCGTAGTTGAAACAGTGCTCAAAACTCCATTCCTGTTTTTCTGCAAGTTCTCTTTATCTCACCAATTAGTCTTTGGAGAAGTGGTTGGGCCGCTAATGGTTAATTAATAAAATGTTCAATTTGGTGGTAATCGGACTTAGTGAATGGTTCAGGGGAAAGATCTGAGCTTTCTTGCAACAGATGTGTACGTATGTGGGTCGAATTCTACAAATCTTTTCTGATGTTTTGAATGAAATTTGCAGTTTTAGTTTTTAATCAAGGAAACTTTAGGATAATATCATGTATGTACTTTGACACATATATCCATCATTGATTTGCTTTGTTTGATATTTGCAATTTACAGGGTGATCAAAATTGTCCGGGTATCATACCTTTGGCCATCAAGGACGTCTTCAGCATTATTCAAGATGTATGGTACTTCTTTAATGCTTAACTTGTTTTGTTTTTTCACTATTATCATCGTGGAATGGACATGTTGGATGTGCGTATATCGTCCTCATTGCTTGATTCAAAAGTAAGATTATGCTGCATCTTTGGATTGCAAATGAGATTAATATTCCCACAGAGCTTTGTTGTACTAATTAGGCCATAAAGTTGTCCATTTGGCCAAGTATTAAACACTGCCACTGTGGAGAATAGTTCTAACGGTTCTCCAAACCAAAGAAAATCAGTTTTTGATGAAGCTTGAAACCGTAACCATCTTCTGTATATAACATCCTGTACGAAATGTTGGTGAATTTAATTTTATGCTTTCTTGCTGCAATGTGACTCCTGCATGTATTCATTTGTAGTTTTGATCTCTCACAGTTTTTTGGTCTATTGGCTGTTCTAATTAAACTTGACCCCAAGTTTGTCCTTGAATCCAATTTGTCTTATTTTCTTTAATCATTTTGCACGGATCACCATAAATTTACTGCCCTGGCATGTCCAAATGCAAGTCCAGGCCGACTATTAATGATTATTCTGTAATCCATGCTTGTATGAATAGTTTAAATCCTATACTTAGATTGCCTGTCACTGTATCTGAACCCAGCTCGAAACTTTTTTCTCTTAACCTTTTCTGTTTAAATTCCTGAAAATTTTATGATTTTGCTTGTTCTAGTGCTGTTGTTTGAGTTCTTTATTTTTCTTTTTTTTGTGCTTCCACATCACTACTTCTGAACCCTGATCATAACTGTTTTCTATGCCTTTTCTCGTTTAACTTTGATGAAAATTTTATGATTTCGCTTCGACTGACACTGTTGTTTGGGTTATTTGATTCATTTTTTTTTGCTTTCACATAATGTATTTGTGCTGACGTGCCATTATTCTTTGGCAGACTCCAGGGAGAGAGTTTTTGCTTCGTGTCTCATACCTTGAAATTTATAACGAGGTAACTAATACTTCCTTAAGCAAAATATACCATCATATCACTTATGCATAACTGTTATTACCTCATAGTTAAATTTTCACTTAAGCTTCGATCTTATTTCTTCACTAAATAGCGAGCTGTTGGACTTTTCTGTATGTTTGAAGTTAAATGCGTCATCTCATAATATGAACAAATTCATTTATAATAGTACCCTTTGGACTATAAGTGAGTTAGTGGAAGTGGACATTTATGATCAGTCTTTTGATAATTTGATTGTTAAAAAAATAAGAAACCGGTATAGGTAGAAGTTATGGGGTAAACTATTCTTTATTCTATCATCAAACATTTGAATTAGAACTTTGGGCTTACTATTTATAGTAGTAGCTATAAATTTATAGCTATGATGCACATACATTATAGTACCATTTGGATGATAAGTCAGGTAGTATAAGTGAACTTTTATGATCAATCTTTTGATATTTTGATTGTTCAAAAAAAAAAAAAAAATCTGTATAGGTAGAAATTGTGTGGTAAACTATTCTTTATTCTTTCATCAAACATTTGAGTTAGAACTTTAGCTACTATTTATATTAGTAGCTATAAATTTATGGATTTGATGCACATATAGGTCACAATGACAGATATTGTGATGCCCAGATTCTAATTTGAAAGAATTATTATTATTTTTCTTTTAATTTACGCACTAAGAGCTATCTAATTTTTTTTATCAATCTAAATAACAACAAAAATAAAACTATTGATCAAAATATCAAAATATACATATGTATCTATTTTTTAAACAAATATATACATTACTCATGATCTATACAATCATACTATAATTACTCCTTCATGAGTACAAACGAAAAACTAAAATAATAAGAACCTGAACCTGAAGAAATCCTGATTAGCCTTTCACTCCTAAATCCTAATCCTCTACCTTGATCTGAAATCATTTAACCACATATAATGAGCTTAAGAGCCATAGCAAACAACTAAAACCTATAATTGAATTCAAAGTATGGTAAATGAGTAATATGCATATCAGGGATCAAATCATAGCAATAACATTTATATGATAATTAAATCAGTGCATAAACAATAAAACTCATATATAGTAACAATAGAATCTATAAACAATAAAATGCTACGGTACGAAAGCCAATAAAATAATAAACCAGTATGAATGTCAAATTTATAAAATAATCGTCATATATGTAATACTAATTAGAATAGAAATCGTATAAAACTTCAAATCAAAATATCGGTAAAGACTGTCGAAATCATGTTAATGTAAAATCATATAAGAGTGTACCCATACTATCCATGTATTTTATATCACGTGCTCAGTATATCACATGCTTCGTACCAATACAATGAATCAATAGTATTGATATCTAAATTGTTAACAATAACAATTTAGCAGTAGGGGCAGTAAAATAATACAATAATAGTAAATCCGTGCAATAAAAAAATAATGCCTAAATAACATACATTTTAGTATTTATATTAAACAAGTAAGAAGTTGTTATCACGGTGTTTTTCAGTAATTAGTAGTAGGTATCTGTTTGCTATCTGTTTACTCAGCAAACTGAGTGGTCACTCTTTTCCTGTCGGCATAATAATCATCTCCTTATAACTCTAATATATATCATGTGGATCAAGAGAAGATAACACCAAAACATAACATTTAAATGAAAGTCCATCGGCTCACCATCTTGTACATGTCAATCAGTCTCCATCCAACGGGTACATGTCTTTTACTCACACAATATTATCACAATAATATAATAGTAATCTTAATCACATATCTACATTCATTTCTAATGCATTACAACAAATAAAATATAATTGAGCTTAATTCAAAAGTGTCAAAATTTTGTAATGACAATCAACAAAATACTATACTAAGCAAAAATTTATATTTTAAAAAATTAACCAAATTATTAAGAATTGTATATAACAACATATTGAAGCTTTTATTGAACTAAAATAATATTTTTAGATGTCAAAATAAGCTTATGACTAGGTAAAAGTCCCTGTTTTTTTAAAACCACCTAGCAAGAAATCTCAAAAAATACTCAAAATGTTCATAATCTTGATTTTTTATAACATATAAATAGTTACCATGTGAAAGGTTTATCAATATAAATGGTGTGATACAAACATGGGGTGAAACATGAATTGCACGTTAGAGATTAATGAGAGTTTAACTTTGCAATGTTAACGATAAAATCTAGCTTACTTAAGTTTGATGCAAGAAAATTCGTGATAGATTAAGTTAACGACAGTGATTACATTTAAGAATTACAAGAGTCTTGCAAAAGATAACCAAAATAAACTAGATAATGCAAATAGCTACTACTAAAGCCACACGTTTAAAATTTAGACCATTCACCTTGAGGTCCGTCACTCTTTTTGAAAGTGGTGGCTAGCGGAGGAGAATCGTAAGTAG